TCGGGTGGAATGTAAAACTCTGTTATATGTAAAATTATCACATAAGCCATTAAATTTAAATTTAATGTTTAATATTTGACATCTCCCTTAGAGATGCTCTGGAAGCTGTTAAATACTATTATGCAAAGTTTTACTTTTCTCGTGAGATATAATACTCACAACACTTTTTAATAGAAGATGTGTTATTGTGAGTGTTAGTGAACTCAGAACAGTTGGTCAACTCAAAACATGTCCTTCACCATACATGTAACTTTTCAATGTCACACAACAAACAAAATGTCTCATGAAATTAACAAATTCTGCATATAAATACAGACATATTAATCGATTACAACATTATAGTAAAATAAAAATAAAAATAATATTGTCAACCCCGAAACCCCAAATACGTTAACATGTTGCAGGAAGGAACCAATTGATCATAAGATTCTAAATCTTTGATAACTTCTCTCCATCAAGGGACCCAAAAAGCTGATGCATGAAAGGTTGAAATCAAGAGAAAAGGACCCAAGATTGAAACAATCCAGCTAGAATTTAAATCTTCTTCACAATTTAATTACAAGCAGCAGCAGAATCTACAGCACTTTTGCAAATTTGTTTGCTGTCTGCACTGCACTCAACTGGTAGCTTAGCTGGTCCTACCCTAAAAGCCCACCTCCCTCCTCCGAGAAGTACTTCCATGAAACGGGAATAACGCTATTTTGTTATATTCGGCCAATAACATCATGACAAACATGACAACATTTTCGAGTGGCCGATTGTAACAAAACAATATAATTTCCGTTACAACTAAGTTGAGAGGGAGAGAGCTATAGGGCTATTTGTAGCATAGCATTGACAAGTGGGCCTACATATTTTGAAACTTGCAACAAATACAAAATAAAATACAAAATTTTGGAAAGCTTTGTACTGGTTCTGTTCTGTTCTGGTCGCATAGCAATTAGCAATTTTTGGTTAGCGAGAATGCCCCTGAGAAAGGACGGAGGAGGTGGGGGCAGAGTAGGGGTATTTGGGTAAATTAGGAACGTGGGATTTGTAATTTGCAGCGGGCGGTTGATGTAAATATCTTAAGGAAAGATATTCCGCGTAACACAATGTACTGGCTGCGGCCTGCGGGGCCACGTTCTGAATCTGCGACACACCGCACTCAATTCAATTTTCTTGTCCTTTCATTCGCTGCCTCGTGATTCCATAAATACAAAATATAAAATAAAGATTAAAAATTAAAACAAGGTTTGTAAGAAATATGGTGACCAAAATTCAATGGTTGCATAGGAAGGGCAATAAGTGAACAAAAATGTCCCAATCATACTTTTTATTTTTGGTCATAACGAGAAAGTGGTTATTCCTTCATTTAAAATTAATTTGCGATTGTTAAGCAAGTAGGAATTCCTAATTCCAAATAAACGAACCACATAATTTTCTTATTTTGTACAAGATTTTCGAATGAACTTCGGATATTTGTACTACATTCTTTAGTAACGAAGAAAATTGTAACCAATGATTCACTTTTTTATTTTACTTGAAGTTTTAAGATAAATTCCAAGTCTTAATCACCGTTTAGAAATCGATATGTATCAAGTAAATTCGAATGTTTTGGCCGAGTTCGAACCATCCTACATTAGAAACTTAAATTTTTTTGGATCTTCTAGCTCATTGCCACGTGAGTTTAGATTGAATGCATTATAATAATTGAGCATATATGTCAAACTATAATTTGCGAGAGAGAAAAATTCTTTGACAAAAATAGAAGGGGTAAAAATAAGATAATAAGAAAAGCAAGGAGGCAAAACTGAAATGTAATAAAAAGGAGCGGGAAGAGTGATAACAGGACAGGCTAGGTGAGTCGTGGAAGCGCGCCGAGCCAATAAGTGGAGCCGATTGAATTGTAGGAGAGAGTAGAAAATAAATGAAATTAGGTGGCTGGGAAGATGACGGAAGCTAATTAACGGCAAAAATTGTCAGTTAGCCTGCAAAACGCAAAACGAAGTTTGTTTTTGTGTGTTTGAGTCTTCACTTCATTTGAGGAGAGGAGAGGAGAGCAGAGGAGGGAGGGGGTTTTGCTTCTCTTCTCACACCACCACCCCTCTGAAGAGCCGCGGAATCTTTTTGCTCTGTGTACGGCCCCGGTTAAAGCCACCCCCCACCCCCCCTCACGTGGGTCCCAGTCCCACAAAACCCCCTTCTCCCCCACACAGTAGTATAACCACACCACGCCACGCCCCGCCCCCATCATTATTAGTATTACTCTCTCTCTCTCTCCACAGACTCAGTAGGGGTTTTGTTGGTTTCTCTCTCTCGCTGTCCTCCTTTGCCTCGCCCAACTCACTCCCACGTTTACATCTCTCTCCTGTGCATTGATAGTATTATGGATCACAGAGAGATGCTGAGCTGATTCTTTTTCTGGCCGTACACGTGGCTTTCGTTGTGTACTTGGATTTTTGGGTGATGACGACCGTCATCGTCAGATATCAGAGATGATAGTTTTTAGGGTTGGTTGCATGATTGCATCATTCCCATGAATGAGTGAGGTCACACAGACAGAAACTCTCTCTCTCTCTCTCTCTCTGAGAGGGATAGCGTTAGGGTTGGTTGGTCAAACCCTTTGGACTTTTCTTCTTACTCTTTTCTGGGTTTGCTAAACTGCCCCCTTTCAAATGCTAATTACGGCTTAATAATAATAATCCAAATTACAAGTTGTCAGCAAAAGTTTTAATGTTCTGCACTTTCTTCATGCCAAAAAAAAAAAAACAGAAGAAAAAAGTGCAGGTCAGTAAATACTGGGAAGAGAATAGGGTTATTATTAATTTGATTGAACAGTAAATTTGACCAGAAGCAGACAACGAACGAACTGTATATATACTGGGTGTGTGTGTATATAGGTTCACCAAATTTTTGGCTGCTATTGCAATAATTTGAGTGCAAATTTTCAGAGCAGTTGGACCACTTGGTTTAGGTTCATTCATTTCTTTATGCTTGTGTTCTGGCCCTTTTGTCTTTTTTCTTTTTTCTTCTCTTCCCTAAACGTTTGGCCTTACCTTCCCTTTCCTCTCACTCACAAGTGTTCATGGCAGGTGAAACTGTAAAAGTGAAAAAAGAGAGTAGAAAAGAAGAAAAGAAAAGAATGGCACCTGGAAAATAAAACAGTGTTTGTTTGTTTGTTAAAAATGAAATGAATGGAGGGGGGTTAGTTTAAGCACTTGATGATATGATCGAAATGATTAAAATTACAGATGAAGCTTTATCCATGAGATCATGTGAGAATCACAAAACATTCCTTCATTAATGGGAATGTCTGATCAAATTGCGATCAATAATAATAATGAGCTAGCCTTGTTTCCCCCCCGCCACTCCATATTAATTAACTTTTATTTTATTTTTACCCAATAAAAATAAAAAAATCTCAAACTTTGCGTGAAAATAATTAGTTCTTCACATGGCATCATCATATATAGTCGATGATGATGATGAGCTAGCTGTGCTTGTGGTGTTGTTTCAATCATTATGAATGATGCACGGCAATTCAGGTGACTGATCATCTGCAACTACTGCAAACCAAGGAAAACGACGATACAGGAAAACACTACTTGTGAATTAGCAATCATCAACTCGATGGATCACTTTAAAAAAATCTTAATATATAATAATATATGCATGTATTATGTATATCACTTTCATTTGAAAAGCATGGACCCTAGCAGCAGCAGCAGCCAGGCTCAAGAATAAATCAATAATCTGCCTAAATTAATAATGGGATTAGAGAGAGAGAAGAGAGAGAGAGTTGAAAAAAATGAAGAAAAATGAGTGGTGTTTTACCAGATTTGGTGTCCATGTAGGCCCATCAGAGACAAAGGGGAGCGCTATTTAATCACGGATTTATGGCTTTTGTTTGTGCTTTCACTTTCTGCAGCTAATTTAGATTATGCATGCACACAAGTTACAAGACAAATGTAAACATCAATAGCAATCATAGTGTGCGCCAAAAATTAGGTTTCCCATTCTCACCACCATCACAAGGTGGAAGGAACACTAGTGTGAAATGACTCCCTTAATTACGGTTTATCTAATTCTAAACACATATTTAATGAGCACTCACAATGTCAAAAGCTTTATTTAATACTTCAGCCCCACAATCTATAATTATCTAATCCATATCTTCCATCTCCAAGGATAAGTTTTGGTTTGGGTCTTATATTGCTTTTACAAGGATTGGGCTGGCTGACCCATTGGGAAAGTTACATGTAATAATCTAATCCATATTTCCTCCAATCACTAGCTTTCACGGTTTCTATGTAAGGACGAAACTAATGACTCGTTTGATAACCATTTGATTTTTCGGTTTTTAGTTTTAAAGCTAAATAAAAGCAACGTACATGTGAGAGGGATACATGAAGGAGAAAGAGGAGAAGAGGAGAAACGACGGAGATTATTATATGAAACGAAAACTTGAAAAAAGAAATACTATTTGATATTGTTTTTAGTTGTCATTTTAAGTAGCATTCCATTGCATTTTCTCCCTTCCTTTCCATCCCTCATTGCATTTTCTTCTTTCTTTCTCCTATGTATTTCTCTTCTACCATTAACTAACACAAAAAATAAACATTAAAAAAAAAATAGTTACCAAATGGGCCTAAAGATTTTTAATAGACTAAATGGGCTTCAAAAAATTGTAAAACCATATTTTCTCATAATGTTTGTTTTGTGGGCTGGGCTGGGTTAGTAGCCCAGAAAGCCTTGTAGCCCGAGCCCCAGTCAGACTTTTTTTGGTCTGAAGGTCACAGTCAGACTCGTCTGTGTAAATTTGCGTGTACACTCTAACATTGCATGCACTTGCACCACCACCATTTCACCATGTACAACAACATATGGGAAAACTACTCTTGAGGTGAGTTATACTAGTCAATTATGTTGTTAAACTGTGAATCTCGATCGCAATCATGTGAATTATTGTTTGGAATATTAATTAGAGTCCAGATTAGCAATCTAATAACATACCAAACTATGTAATATGAAATCAGTTATAAAAATAAGAACAACTATATCTCTTACAAAACATATGCTAATACCTACAACTTTTGTTCATAGAATTAGTTTACTCTATTGAGTTTCACAACTCACCCATGAATTAATAGAGTAAAATAATTATACACCAAACAAAAGTTTTAAGGTATAAGCATTACTTATTACATGATTTAAACATTTCAAGTGAAATAAACATTTATATAATCTATAATCTCACATGCATATTATAATAAAACCATATATCAAATTAACTTCAGCACTTGAGCGCCACTCGAGCAAACTTTGCATGTATTTGTTCAAGTAGTGCTTTCTGAGCGCAAACTTTGTTGAACTTCAAGCACCAGTTCCTCCACGCTCAGCTGACACTCCAGTCCTATCTGCAATCACAAATTAGAATGTAGTGAGATCAGATCAAGTTTAGTTTCTCCGAATATATATGCATCAATCCAATACCTCAAGTTTAGTTTCTCCTGATTTATGACTGCTTGCATGTGATGAGTTCATTTTTCTGATTCTAGAGAAAAAAAAAACCAGTTCTCTAGGTTTGACATATAGCAGCTCTCTCACTGAAGCTTGAGGGTAGCTAAAACCCTAACTTCCCAAAACTTTAGAATTCACACCGAGCTCAATTTAGAATTTCCAAAGCTATGTCTTCCAAAATTCTCATCACCATGTGTATATATAAAGATGCGTACTTAAGTTATTTCGTGAAGTGAGATATTTATATAGACTAGAACGTATACCTTGATTACAAAAGAGTATAAAACAGTGTCTTCCATGCTGCTGATGTTGAGATGAAGGACCTCAAATGAAAGCCTCTCCAGCACTCCAATTATCTTAGCAATTTGACCAGATGTTCTCCGAGATATTATCTTCAACACCACATTGGACCCCGAGATCTTTGCTTCGACATCTGCCACTGGAGAGTTGCAACAAGCTCCTATAGCTAGTTCCTTATTGATCACATGATGCTGATTATCAACCCCCAAATTAAAATTGAAATTAGGGTTTTGATCAAGTTGGGGAGTAGATGGATATTGCTGAGGCAATACTACTGGCTTCGGGCTTGGATTAGGGCTAGGGCTAAGGCTCTTCCTCCGTTTATTAGATTCCAAAGACTGTAAAACTTGATGCAATTCCTTGATGAATTCTATCACACCTCCTATGATTGATGCTTGGTCTCCCTAGAACATGTCAAGCAATTAACAAGAAAATGATTAATTAACACCGACTTAAAATTGATCATATCTATATATATATATATATATATATATATGTATAGAGTAATTATATATGAGATACCCTTTTGATGTAGAAACAAGGGGTTAAAGAGCGTAAGACTTTGAGATGTTCGTTCATCTGCTTTCTTCTGTTTCTCTCCACAGCTATGTGAGACATGGTTTTCTTCTTTTTGTTTTCTTGCTTTCTCTTCTCAACCTCTTGCAATTTGTTTTTCGTCCACACACCAACTCAAAAACTCTGCTATTTATAAGAGATACATTGAAAGAAACCCAAAATGGACACACAAAAAACCACCTGTTGTTGGGTTTGCATTAAATGCCCTACGTCGCATTCTCGTGAAGTTCTTTTTTACTCTCTCTCTCTCTCTCTCTCTCTCTCTCTCTCGGTAGCATATACTATTACGCGTCTCACGTTTATGAAGTTGGGTTCAATTACGTGCCCCCGTGCAAGTTAAAGAAGGAAGAGTTAGAGTTGCGCTTATCTTTCCCATGCACATATTTATCTAGCTAGTACTCTTTAACTCTCTCTCATGCATGACATGCTCACTTCTTTCATCTCCTCAGTCGATCCTATTCCTATACATTACAATTTACATGGGTCATAACTTTCAGAAGCTTTCTTCGAGTTTCAAAGTTCTGTCAAACAAAGTAGGGCAAATATTCAAATATGCTCAGATATGCTCATATTTTTATTCTTCTTTATGGAGGTATTTATACAAGTACAAAGATATGTTAACCCTAAATAAAATAGGAAATATATCTAAATTACAATAGGAAGTAAATCTCTATTACAATAGGACTAAATAATAATTGGTAAGTAACCAAAATTCTAATGAAATAAGGAACCAAAATCCTAACTAAGTAAGGACTCGCCAACACTCCCCCTCAAGTTGGGGCAAAGATATTTCGCATGCCCAACTTGACAAGCGAGTCACAGAACACCATACTTGAGAAGCACCAGTTGTAGAGAAGGTCTTTTCATCAACCACGAGTGAAACAAGTGACAATAGAACACAGAAACTTGTGAGCACGACAATAGATAAGGCAGAACACAGAACCCCTGTGAGCACGGCAGAAGATAAGGCAGAAACCAAACCCTAAAAATAGGGTAAGGTAAGGCATGGCAAGGCAAAGCCAAACCCTAACAAATAGGGTAAGGCAAGGCAAAGAAAGTCAAGAGCAAAGGCAAGGTCAACGGGCATGACCACAATGGAAACACACCAGCAAAGGCATGAGCAACAATACTGGCACCATAACAGGCAGGAGCAACAATACTGGCACCATAATTAGAGCTGGCAAACGGGTCGTTTTAACGGGTTCCGGGTCGTTAACGGGTCAACCCGTTTTCTTAACGGGTTGACACGAACACGACCCGTTAAGCTAACGGGTCAGAAATACTAAACCCAAACACGACCTGCACATATTCGCGAATAACACGACACGGCCGGTTATGACTAATGGGTCGTTTTTCACCCGTTTCACCCGCTTCACCCGTTTCACCCATTTAAAAAATAAACAATATTTTTGCTGGAATTATTAAATAAAAACACCTCAACTTAGAGATATAATACAAATAAAGCTGAAATCCTTAAATAAGTCTTCCACATTACACATTGGCAAACAAAAAAACTCATAGACAACATGAGTTTCAAATTAATCTCAATTGAAACAAGTTTTAAACAAAATGTCAAGGAGAAAAAGAATAAGTCTAGTGCCTCCTCCATGAACTAATCTCAAAACTTCAATCCTCCATGAACATAATCTCAAAATTGCAATTTTCACCAATTATGCAATCTCTGTGAAGAAAAAAAACAAAACAGACAAAAATGAGAAAATAACATTAAATTATGGAGGGATACAATATGAATAAAATATCAATTATTTATAGTTACCTTTCATCAATCATCAAGGGAAATACTATTGGAACATTGTCCTGATCTAGTCTCTTCACAAGTAAGATTGAAGATATCTTCAGTAAGGCTTTCCACTTCTGTACTTCCTTCATCTATTGCTAAGCATAAAAAAAACAGAACTTACAAAGAATTCACATGATGGAAAAACATAAAAGAAAAAAACAGCTACTAGTATTAAGTTATATAAATATACCTCCATTTCCAAAAAGCCAATCTCGAGTGCACAACAAAGCTTGAACAGTTTCTGGTAATAATGAACTACGATATTGATCTAATACTCTACCGCCAATACTAAAAGCTGATTCTGATGCAACGGTAGAAATGGGAATTGTTAACACATCCCGAGCTAACTGTGAAAGTATCGGATAATGAAAATGCTCCATTTGCCACCAAGAAAGAACATCTATATCTTGCTTTCTATCTAGTCTTTCCTCATCTAAATACTTATGCATTTCATTTTTCTTACATGAACTTGAACCATTTTTGTAACTGTTATCAAAATCCTACACCATAAAAAATAAAAAACACAACTATTAGTTACATGCAAATGCAAATATACAATATGAAACAATACATAAATAAAATAATAAGAAATATGCAAATTAACCTCAAGAATGGTGTCTCCACCTTCATTATGACTAGCTGTCTCATTCGTTGGATAACTTGCATGAAGAAAAGGAGATAAAGTATCCATGTACACATGAAAAAGACAAGTCAATGTGTCTGTAACACACTTGAATTCTCGAGAATCCTTACCATGAAGCTTAGTATAAGCCCACTCTACAAAATGCAACTTATAGCGAGGATCCAAAATAATTGCAATTGCAAGAACTAAACTATACTCTGACCAATACTTCTCAAACTTCATGTTCATATTAGTTCCTATCTTGTTCATGAAACTATCATTATCTTCCATGGCTGCCTTAATTTGGTGTTGGATTATGAAGATCTTAGGGAAGAATAAATTTGATGTGGGGTACTTTGTCCCAGAAAATAAGCATGTAACTTCATAAAAATACCCCAAAAACTTGGAAATCTTCTCTACTGTAATCCACTCTTGAGGAGAAGGACAATTACTAAAATTGGAATCAATCAACCCTAAATTAATAAATGCACGATGATAGAAAAGTGCACTATCAAGCATGGTATAAGTTGAGTTCCATCTAGTAGGGACATCTTGTCTCAATCCTCTCTTACTACCCACAATCCCTACTTGTGCAACACAATCATAGAATTTTTGTTTCCTCGCCTCGGATCCCTTTATATACTTGACACATTCCCGAATCTTTGTCACTGAAGAATCAATTTCTTTAAGTCCATCTTGGACTATCAAGTTTAAAATATGGGCACAACAACGCACATGAAAAAACTGACCACCCATCAACAAAAGAGATCTAAAGTTCAATTGATTCTTCAAAATTTCAACAAAAGCAGTATTTGCAGAAGCATTATCAAGAGTAATAGAAAACAACATAATATGCAAGAGAAACAATACTGGCACCATAACAGGCAGGAGCAACAATACTGGCACCAACAAAAGCAATACAAGGCACTAGTACCAACAACAGCAACAAGGCAGAGACATAACAGGCATCATCAACAACAATACAAGGCATTGGCACCAGCAACAGCAGAGACAACTTCTCTTCACTCATCCTCTCCCCTGAAGAGAAGAGGTCGTCGGAGTCAAGAAATAAGCAACATCTTCATGAGGTCGTCAGAGTCAAGAAATAAGCAACATCTTCATGGGAATATGTCAAGCTAATGGGGATACGTCAATAAACATATCCTTTTCACTCTCCCTCCCCCCCTTGAAGAGGAGAGGAGGAGAGCACTTAAATTGCAAGGAGAACGCAAACACAGGTCACAAGAAAACCTGGCTCTGATACCATGTCAAACAAAGTAGGGCAAATATTCAAATATGCTCAGATATGCTCATATTTTTATTCTTCTTTATGAAGGTATTTATACAAGTACAAAGATATGTTAACCCTAAATAAAATAGGAAATATATCTAAATTACAATAGGAAGTAAATCTCTATTACAATAGGACTAAATAATAATTGGTAAGTAACCAAAATTCTAATGAAATAAGGAACCAAAATCCTAACTAAGTAAGGACTCGCCAACAAGTTCACCATTGAAGTTCTCTGATCTGTTGGAAAAATGCATTCTTACAATAATATATATAATTCAATGACTTGCTTATGGGCGCAGACCCTAAAACCATCGGGGTCCTCATGGGACTTCCAAAGTTCACTACTGGTTGAAACTGAACTACCAATTTCACGTGAAAAATATTTACTGCACTTGAAAGAAGTTTATTTATTTTTTCATTGAAATTGTTTTGTTTTAGGATGTGACACATTATTCTGTGTATATGCATAATGCATGTTGTGGATATTTCACATGATGATTTAGGCAGTAGGAGTTAATTGAACATTAATTAGTATAAATATTACTCATTTAATTACATATAATATGATAAAGAAAGATGATGAAATCTTTCGTAATTCAGGAACAATATGCGTGTCAGAAGTATTATTAATTAATTTATAGCCAAATGAGCATATACATATAATGCTTGTTTAGCCAAGTGGCTGGGGTGGGTGGCTTCAAGTTGTTCTGACTTTGGCCTGGGATCATGTGCTTTTATTGAGTTGTTCAAGAGAAATAAATTATCCCTTCTGCTACTGCTGCATGATCTCTAGTGTTTGTTTGTTTGGGTGGGCAAGAGTAAGCTTACTAGCTTAGGTTAGGTAGGTTTAGGAGCCGGCCGGATGATGCTGGATCCTCCATGGATAAGAGACTTTATGAGGCGCAGAGAATGAATGTCCATCAACCTCACAGAGCTGAAATATATTGTATGACATTCTGATCATGACATGTATTAATTCATACTCTACGTAAATGGGTTCATGCCCAACACAACTATAAATTAAAAGAATGAGCAGACAGACAACAGAGAGAGAGAGAGAGATTCCATTATCTTCTATCATCTATTTTCTTAGGAGACTGGAGTTTGGGTTTTGGCATGAACATAACTAGCTTTTAATCTCCCGCCAAATTAATTGGTTTTGGCATGAACCAACCATTATGTCCTTTTCCCCTTCCTTCCATTTTCACTCTCATCTTTCTATTTGATACATATTTGCCTTGACAGGATTTCACACCTTATAAAACCCTGGACCAGATTAACTGTGTATTTTTTTTAATTTTTTTTTAAAAGTATTTAAGTCCAATGCTAAATTTCTAATCCTATAACTAATATTTTTCCAAGCCCAACTTCAAAACACCTTTCTTTTCTAAGCCCAATAATCTCTTTGTGTATGAAATTGGATCATTTGTGAATTTTTAAGCCCAAAAATATAAAATTTTAGTTGGAATTTGTTTAAAAAATAAAATAAAATATCCGACCCAAAACCAGAAAAGTTAAAAACCGTACCAAAACCGGTTTAAATCGTACTAGCCAATTTCATAATTTTTTTTTTCTTCACAAAAACCAAACTGAACCACACCAGTTATATAGGACATATTTAGATTCCGGTGTGAAATGAAAACCGGACTGAACTGGACCATGCCCACCCTAGTTTAAGGCTTATATTTGTTTTTTATGCAAATATTAGGGTCCGTTCGGTAACGTTTTAAAAGGTTGTTTTTATTTTCAGAGAACAAATATGAGGCAAAAACATGTTTGGTGGCCCAAAAACAGAAAACATTGAGAATGTTTTCATAAAATGAAAACAAATTCATGTGTACTTGTATAAAACAGAAAAAAGTTGTTTTCATTCTCGTGGAAAATGTTTTCATAAAATTAACTCACATATTATTATTTCAAATTGTACTACCAGACACGTTTTCATTGTTTTTGTTTTCTGAAGATGTTTTCTAATTAATCTACCAGATGCATTTTCATTTCCTACTAAAAATGTAAATTCGTTTTCTTGTTTTCATTCTTCGAAAATATTCTCAGAAAACATTTTCTGAAAACGTTACCAGACGGGCCCTTAGCATCTGCCTCAAAACATCGCAACAAATAGTACCAATCTGCTTTTCTATACCACAAAGATTTACACACTGTTTCATAAGTTTATGGCAATCTCTACATAAAAAGCTTCAATGCAATTAGGATTTCACCCTTCTTGCTTCATTGAACACATGGAAAGAGCTTATACAGAACTACAACCGAAGCATTCTCACAATCAACTTTAAATTTTAGTTGCCCGCATCAGGGCTCATCCTTTTCTTTTGTAACAAGTGTGAAAGTTCTATACCACCAAATTTCTATCTAACTTGGGTAACATATATATTATAACGAGGTTCTTCAACGCAGTCCAGAGCGAGGATCTTCAACGCAATCCACCTATGTACATTACATTGTCTTGTTCTCTTCATCTGCTACATTATAAAGGAAATCCCAAGAAAAACACAATCAAACAAAAAGTCATCATGGAACGCAGGTAAGAACGCACATAAGAATACTTTTGTAAAGCCTTATAGCTCTCTGGTGACAACTATGAATTTTGAAGTGAAAAAACTGCACAATAACTTTAGACCAAGAAAAAGAGAGTTTCTGGCATTGTGCCTTCAATAAATGCAGGGCTGGCAAACATACTTAAAACATATTCTACTTTGTTTTTTCATGACCTGACTATACAGCAGATATATACTAACACAAAATGAATTCAAGCTTAAATCTTGCACATTATGTACAAAATCTGCAAGCTACCATCAATGGGTTCCAGACTCAGCACATTGTCACCCCTTTCTAACATGCATTGCCACCCACACAAGTTTTTACTAATTTTATTTTTTCAAAACACTATCAAAAGCAGTGTGAAGTAATCCCCTGAAATCATCAACTATGTTAACATTGCCAACGGTATCATTACCAACAAACTCTCTGCTCAAATTCAGGAGCTCCATCAGGTCAGCCAGAAAAATGTTATTGTATACTGTGGTTTGACTAAGGAGAAAAAGATATTTCAGTAAAACCATGAGTATGCTACACTGGTTGAGCTACTTCAGGCTCTAGTCATACACCTAGTTGGATAAAAAAAAAAGAAGTAAAATGTAACACACCATGAAGAGCCCTTTCAAAGCTCTGCAGTTGTGATATGAAACCAGAATTTGGAGCTGCCTGAGGTCTTCTGCTCTTCACATGCTCAAGAGCTTGAGATAGGTTCATGCCATGCTTTTTCATCAGATATGCAACAACAATAGTCACACTGCAGGGTCAAACAATTAAAGGCATGAAAACTGTAGTAGTTTCCAAGTTCTAGTAATATCAATAAGCAAAGTGTTTCACTCAAAGGTAAAGCTGTGAGAATTTCCTAGCTTATACAGTTTGAATTTGGCTTTACTAGAATTGATGACCATTGGATAAAGCTCGACTCTGATCTAGGTTCAACAAAACTATGTAAAACCACATAACTCTTGACCTTCATCTAGATTAGTTTAAACCAGCAAGCAAATTTCTAATATTGAGAAAAGATATGCAAATTTCTAAGCATTTATTATCAGAATTCATTGGAACTACAAGATAATTTATTCTTATTTCCCTAAACATGAAATATCAGAGAGATCAATAGAACCAAACTTCAAGGATTCACTTCTTATGGGAATGCTTTAAAGTGTTGACTTAAATCAAGAAAGAAAATAACTTGAAAGCAATAACCTAAACAGGGTGCGAAAAACCACCTTCTGGATCTTCCCACAAAGCAATGAACCAACACACCACCACCAGATCTTTTAGCTTCATCAATATAATCAATACACTCATCAAAGTGCTGCTTTAAATCTGTTGATACTCTGTCCGCAACTACCTCAATTTTGAAAGACCACCAGAAGATAAATACAAATTTCAGTTCTATAAGCCCACCTTGGTTTGAAACAACAATTATGAACAAGCTGATGTTTAAACGGTCATAGATTCAAGGAATTAACAACTTCAAATGGTGGGGTCGTAAGGTATACAGTCATGATGGCATACTGATAAGTAAAGGCTGGTGAGAACCAAACATAACAAAGTTGGAGTAAAAGTGCTTCAGAATGCTGAACAAATGTTGCTTGTGTGCTGGAAGATACTGGAAGAATGGAGCACACCAAAGATGTGCAGAATTGCTTATTTGTTTTATATAAATACTAAAATCATTTGCAAAAAAATCACTTACGATCCAAAATTATGAAAAAAAAAACTAAACTTTGAATCGGCTACACAAAGCAAATGATCGGATGCAAGTTGAAGACTGTGTAAGAAACAATCAACTCAAGAGAAAATAAATTGAAGTAAATTGTCCCAAAAAGTGGAGGGTATTTTAAAAACCTTAAAGACATGTAGTCAGAAACAACATTCTTACCATTTATAATCTTATACACAAAATCATTTGGATATGAAGGTTCGAATGAATTAGCTACAGTCAAAATGTGTGTAATGTTTAAGTTTTTTAGTTCCTCCTTGTTATTTGCAGCTCCAATAGAACCCAAGAAGAGACCCTGGAATATGAAAACAAAAGAAACAAGTGAGTCAATTGGTAATGATCGCATCTGTCCAATAAGTGTCCTATACGCATTCCTATTGCTCTAGCTCCAGAAAACAGGGCAGTAGAAACAATGCAGAGCGAATGATGAACATATTGCAAAATTAAAATCTAGCGACCTCTTCAATTTGGCAAGGAACATTGTCCTCTTTGGAGCATCTTGTCACATGTATAACTCTCAACAATGCTGCAATTTGTTTCTTAAGGGATTCATCCATCTGATCCATTGCTAGTCACAGAAATTTTTTCACTCGTTAACTGACTCGCCTGCAAGGCAATCATCCAAATAATAAGGAAAGCAAATTTAATTTTGAACAAATTATAGATTCCCCAACTAACACTTTTATATTGAAGTTCAAATACATAAAAAAGATAAGGTTAATACAAGGTCATTCAGGCAATTCTCTTTTGGTTGAAACATGATTGAATAATCCAAAAGCACCCACAGAAACCAAATCGCGAAGAAGCTCAAAACATGAACTTTGACTTATTTCTGAAATACCACCATAACAAAGAGCAAATCAAGTGCAAACAGAATAATAAAAAAAGCTCGCATTTTCTTTAGAAGATCGACACAAAAACTTCCATCAATCAAGTTTTTCATTGGACTGTAAACCCAGATGTGAACCTCTAGAGATACATAACCAATCAAACAAACCCATAAGAGGAAATCAAATTACCATAAATAATTATACCGATATGAATTTAGCTTTCAAGAGAGCAAGTTTCCCAATTATTGATTTGTTGAACAACCCAAGAAGTGTAAAATTCACATCAAATTGGAGAAACAAACATCTAGATCAGGTGCGGAGTGAAGTAAAAAATAAAAATAAATTTACAACAAAATCGAAGAAGGCACTCACTCAACAAGCTGTGATATAGGAAATTTGAGGTCTGACAATGAGCGTTTGTTTATCCCGCGCATCTGATCATTGTGTTTTGGTCCTATATAACTTAGTCTTGGGTTTTTTTTTTCTTGTTCCTTTTTGTCACTGTTTTTGGAAAGTCCTCCCTCTTCTTCTTTCTATTTCCTCTCTCTTTTTTTAATCTTTTCTTCTTGTTTCAGTTAGATTTTCCATGTCAAAAAAAGAGTACAGTTCAATTTCACGATTTTACACGTATTGGGCTCATCCAAAACAGAAGATGATGAACCAACAAAAGGTCCAAAGACAAAACCCAGAGACGGCCCAAAACAAAAAAAAGCCCAAAATCTAGAAAAGCGTAACGTGATAGTACCGGAGAGAGGTTCTGAGGGTTGAAAAAATAAAAATCATAAATCCCAATATTAAAGTACCCTTCTCAAACATGTAAAAAGGGAGGGGAAAAAATCACAAAGCTTAAGCTTAACCTTGATCTTTGATCTTGGTGGTGAAGTCGCACAAAGCACAACCCCAACCCTCTGGGGCTAGTAGGGTCCCGCAAACCTCTAAACAAAAGAGGAAGAGGAAGAGAAGAACAAAAACTTAGGAGTTTTTAGTGTAAATATAGACCTAACCTAGTAGATTTATTTGAAAGTAAAAGAGTGATTAAGAAATTTAATCGTCAATTTGTAGACAAAAAGCCTAATATATTGTTTATTTTAAAATAAATATCCCAAATATAATATAATATAATATAATATAATATAATATAATATATAAATGCAAAATAGATTGAGGGGGGCCCTCAGACCACATTGGTCCCTACATGGCTCTACCCCTGCCCGTACTCCATGTCGTCAATCTCCTCTTCCACAACTCTCCACACCCACAACTCTATTTTGTCGAAGTCATAGCTGCGTAGCTTTCCACAGCCTGAAGAAGCTCCCCTCACTTCATCTTCTCCATCTGAAGTGATGTAGGACGAAATATGGTCAATTATGGCACTAAGAAAAGAAGGAAGGCGTATCGTTGGGATTTTCTAAATGATTGAAGAAGAATTGTGACATATGGTGGCTTTTGGGTTTCTAAGGTCGTTTGGCCTTCCAAATCTGCATTTAAAGAGTTGTAATCAATTTTTCAGTTTTTGTTTTATTTCCCCTTTAATTTCAATAACTCCCCTTTAGTAGCTCAAAGGGTGAGAAGGTTGTGTTTAGACGTTTCTGAGGTTCTTTGGAGACTCAGTTTTATGAATCAAATAATTCAAAGAGAATTTTCTCTCCAATTTCATGGTGGATTCCAGATTATCGTTCTTTAGGATTTTTGCTTGAAAATCTATTTGCTTGTGCTGCGTCATGAAGAGCAGATTTCAGCCAAAACCACTTCGTTTCTCCAGCTGCTTCCTCCATCTCGATAACTTCGTGCGTTGATTTTCGTTATGTGTAATTGATAGTTATGTTGAATTTATTTTTCTTTTGTGTGAGATTTGAATAGTGTGGCTGTAAATGAAATTAAAGATATGTCCTTAACGAGCTGCGCTATTTTTGCTTTCCAGTAACTTAGAGTTTAGGATTTAGCATTTGGGGTTGATAATTGGACCCCCTCTCGTGGGTTGTCGGCACTCATCTCGTCTGCAGTCCATACCCCTCTCTTGAAATCCCCCTATCTTGAAAGCCTCTAGTCTTCGCTCGTTTTGAAGGTAAGTGACAACTATTTTTAGGTTTAGTTAATTAAAATATTGTGGTCATTACTTGGGAGTCATGGGTAACTTCAAAATGTCGTGAGGTTAACTGGGTTTCTCACATTCATGGTTGTAATGGAGATGTTAGTGGGTTCATGCAATTTGAAGTACTGTCATGCAGTTGCATATCACTATATGCAATTACTAATCGCATGTGTGAAAATCCAGCTCACTGTTTGCAATTGCAGTATGTAGTTTTGTTTTTTTAATTAAGAAAGTAAAGTGATTTCGTGGTAGGTAGGTTTGATTGTGTTATCCAGCTCACTGTATGCAGTTGCAGTATGTAGTTGTGTTTTTTGTGTGTGTGATGGAGTGTAAAGTGTTTCAAATGCGTAATGTGCAGTAATATGTCGTGTTTAGGGTTTATTGGGATTTGGATTAGTATTGAGATTCCCGTCACGCATACTCATAAATTGAAATAAAAGAGAATATCATTAATATGAATAAGAATAAAAACACCTTACGGTAGAAAATCTTCAAGAACCCTAGTAATTACTCTCTGTCTCCAAAATTGCATCAAAGAAAGCCCCTTACTACTGTCAAGAGCATTCGATCATTCTTGGGACATGCTGGGTTTTATCGACAGTTTATCAAGGATTTCTCCAAAATTAGCCGTCCTTTGTGCAACTTACTTGCTAAGGACGCCCCATTTAATTTTGATGCAGATTGTCTAGAGGCATTTAACAAATTAAGGACACTTTTAACTTCAGCTCCTATCATTGCTGCACCTGATTGGAGTTTACCCTCTGAGTTGATGTGTGATGCGTCAGATTATGCAATTGGGGTAGTTCTTGGACAGAGAAAAGATAAAATTGCCCAGGTTATCTACTATGCTAGTAGGACATTAAATGATGCGCAATTGAATTATGCAACCATTGAAAAGGAATTATTGGCAGTTGTTTTTGCATTGGAAAAGTTTCGTTCTTACTTGGTTGGGGCTAAGGTTATAATTTACACAAACCACGCTGCACTGAAGTATTTTTTGTCTAAAAAAGACGCCAAGCCAAGGTTAATTCGTTGGGTTTTACTTACGCAAGAATTTGATTTAGAAATTCGAGATAAAAAGGGCAGCGACAACGTTGTGGCTGATCACTTATCCAGGCTGGTCAGTACCACCACAGCAAAAGAGGATTTACTTCCTCTAAATGACAGTTTTCTTGATGAACAACTTATGGCCATTGTAAGCAAAACTCCATGGTTTGTCGATGTTGTAAATTATTTGGCTAAAGGTATTTTGCAGCCAGATTTGACTTTCTAGCAAAAGAAACGGTTTTTAGTTACAATTAAGTATTATTTTTGGGATGAGCCTTACTTATACAAGTATTGCCCAGATCAGATTATTCGTAGGTGCATTCCTGTAAAAGAGCAAGAAAGTGTTTTGACGTTTGCACATCAACATGCTTGTGGTGGTCATTTTGGGGGAAAATGGACAACAACTAAAATATTACAAAGCGGGTTGCATTGGCCTACTATTTTTAAAGACGCTCATGTTTGGTGCCAGGCTTCTGATATATGTCAACGTGTGTGAAATCAGTCTAAGCGGAATGAAATGCCACAACAAAGTATTTTGGTTGTTGAATTATTCGATGTTTGGGGCATTGATTTTATGGGACCATTCCCATCATCCAATGGAAATCAATACATATTGGTGGTTATTGAATATGTTTCTAAGTGGGGCGAGGCCGTTGCAGCACCAACAAATCAAGGATCTGTGGTACTGAAATTCCTCAAAGGCACTATTTTTCCACGTTTTGGGACACCTAGGGCAATTATCAGTGATGGGGGAAATCACTTTTTAAATAAACAGTTTGCTGCACTACTTACTAAATATGGGATAAATCATCAGGTGGCCACTGCATACCACCCTCAAACTTTTGGGCAAGTTGAAGTTTCTAATAAGGAAATTAAGCGCATTTTAGAGAAAACAGTCAATGCCAACCGCAAAGACTGGAGTGTTAAGTTGAATGATGCTTTATGGGCCTACAGAACAACGTATAAAACGCCGATTGGGATGTCTCCCTTTCGGCTTGTTTATGGTAAGGCGTGCCATCTACCTATGGAGCTTAAACATAAGGCTTACTAGGCGATTAAGGAGCTTAATTATGCATATGATGCAGCTGGAGAAAAACGAAAGTTACAGTTGCAAGAGTTGGAAGAACTCCAAAATGATGTATATGAAAGTACAAAGATATACAAAAAGAAAACAAAAGCATTCCATGATAGAAAAATTCTCCGGAAACAGTTTCAGCCAGGTCAAAAGGTTCTATTTTTCAATTCAAGGTTGAAGTTATTCCCTGGGAAATTAAAATCTAGGTGGCTGGGTTCCTACATTGTTACTAAAGTTTATCCACACGGCGTCGTGGATATTAAAAATGGGAAGACCGGTTTCGAGTTTAAAGTAAATGGCCATAGACTCAAACACTACTTGGAGGCACCATTTGACATTGCAGTCGAGTCAGTGACTCTGAAGGAACCAGTGATCTGACCACCAACCTTCGGCAATGTTTAGCTATAGGCATTAAATAAAGCGCTTATTGGGATGCAACCCAATTTTTCTAAACTATTTATTTATTTTATTTTTATTTTTCTAAACTCTTTACTTATTGGTAAATTGCAGGTTGCAACCCGGGGAAAATAAAGCAGATAATCCTATACTAAAATCATGCACCCAGCAGTAAATTGCAAATAATCCTATACTGTAATCATGCACCCAATAGCAAATCTATATTAACATCACCACATCTACACTATGCTAGAAGTTAAAGCAATTAACATGAGCTCACTCAAAGATGCAAGTTTGGGGGTAGTTGTTGCATATCCAGCACAGAAACATCATTTTTCAGTAGTTAATTTTTTGCAGCCTAGTTTGCAGATCATGCACACGTGCATCACATATCTATACACCACAAAACTGAGTACACCTATACTACCAGATCTACAAAAGAACAAAAAAAATGAAAAAAACAAAAAAACACAAACTTGCAGGGATTCGAAATTATACCTAAGAGCTGCACGGATCTGGGGTCCCCAGGGCCTTTTGATGTTTTTGTCCTTTGAGTTTGTGTGTTTATTGCTTTTTCCCTTGAATCTGTCCTGGATCCGCATACCCTACACAGAGAGCACAATATGAGTACATGCAGGGACATAGAACACACCTCTATACAGATCAGGACCCAAAACGTAATCTGAGATGTCCGATCTATTCATGTCTTTTACCTTTGCGCCGACTACTCACGGAGGTGTGTTTGTTGTTGGGTTATGGGTTGCAAAACGGGTGCAGCGTTTAGAGAGGATGAAGGAGCTGCTGTGAGATGGAAATGTTGTACCCATGGTTGTGTCATGACTTTGATTTGTGCAGGTTATGGATGCCCAAAAAAGTGTTCAAGCGAAAGGGAAACGCAAGGGTGAGAATAATTTAGAACATGCAAGAGTTGACTGAGATGCATTTTTCCATTTCATGTAAGTTACATATACATATACCTGAAAGATAGAAATGTGGATGGTTAATATTAGGATGATTTTTTAATTAAAAAAATGATTGA